TATATTATATTATTTTATATTATATATATATTCTATAATATTATATTATATTATGAGACTAAACCCTAAACTCCTAAACCTTGCATAATATATTATAGGATAAGAAACTGAGGCTTGCAGTTTTGATGATCATGGCTGGCAGACTGGAAACTGCATCTTTGGCTATGCTCGGCATAGAATGTAGCACATGGGTGTCCATTAATCGAGGAACATCACGACGCAGTGAGCTCACTCCCTTCGGCAATACTCGTCTTGAATCAGTTCAAGAAGCAAACATGGCTACATCGAGGCGAGACAGAATCTTAATACATGTATACCATGCATACTGTAGATAATAGGAATATACAGCCCCCAATAAACCACTTATGTCAGGACAATGCTGCTCCTGATCCTCCTGACCTGCCTGGGTCACCACTGGTGTGTCGAGAATCCAGGAAGCTCGGTCATCGGATCCTACCCGAGGTTTCAATGGGTGTTTGCTTCCCTCAAGAAGTTGGGGGTTCCAGTGGCTCGATAACATTATTCAGCTCATGATTTGCATATGATATAGGTCGAGTGCACGGTATATTAGTGCAATCATTCACCCGAGGTCTATGTACAGAGATTCTGGATGATGCATTTTGGGCACCCCACTCCGAAACGAAGCATTCTTTGGTCCACGTCGCCTTTCATACGGCTTCTAGACTTGGGGAAGCTCATCCGTGCCTATCAGCAAGGGAAGTTCCAGGTTGTTCATCGATACAGAGACAAGGGTGGCGTCAAAAAATTCACGGGGAACAGGCTCCTGAAAGGAACCGGGATGCTCGGCTGAATTCTAGATTCCTGCATGCATATTGTAGCTACATCGAACTGATCGACCCTGCATAGCCTAGGGTGTATCCTCCTCGGTTTGCACGCAAGATCGTGGAAATGCTGGAGCCCACACGGGATCTTGCACGCCCGGAGATCAAGGTTGGACATAGGGTTAGGCTCTCTAGGGTTTATGTATGGCCCCTAAACCAGGTGTATATAAGCCCCGGAACCCTAAACCCTAAACCGTGTAAACCCAAGAACCCTCAGCCCCTAGCCTAGCGTAAAATCTTCGAGCCCTATAACAACCCTCTGGCCTCTCTCAGGTTGGGAAGGACGAGCTGCAGCCCCCGTGCGATCTTGCCGAGCTCTTCAGCAACCTGAGTTATGATCAACCCAAGTGGGAGGAAGCCGAACTAGAAGATGTGGTCTTTTATCTACGACAAGCGAGCTCCGTAAAGCTTCCTAGGGCTTTCAAGTCTTTGATCCCGAAGTATTCATTCGTGTAGAAGCCCCAGGGATAGCACGGCACTGGCACCCAATGTTTTTTCATAGAACCTTAAAGCCTCTATCGGGGAGTACGCGTTCTGTGTTGATTCGAGATCCTTTGGGTCCTTTGCTGGTGCTAGGTGCTGAATTTATGAAACTACGGGGCAGTTTTTCGTGCTGTTCAGACCGGACTGAGCCTTATGATGCAAAATGGGGGCCCAAAACAATTGCGGAAACTGGCGTCCAGATTGCGGAAACTGGCGTCAGATTGCGGAAACTGGCGTCCCCTCTGTCAGCAGCCTTCTCAGGATGGAATCTAGTGATAGTTTAGGGAGCCACGGGGTCTCTCGAGAGACCTTGGCCCGTGGTGGTGAGATCCTCTCCAACATTGCCTCGCTTGGGGTGGTGAAAGAGGAGACCCCTGAAGATGAGAAGGAACTACTCGCCCAAATGGAGGCCCTGATTCCCGAACCCTGGAACACAAACCTCCCAAAATCTCCCAAACATCATTTCTGGGCAGGCACTGAAGAAGAAGATGTCCCAGATCCAGAGCGCTCGCCAGGACAGTAGTGGCCACAGGGTGTTAGGCCGGGATTCGGTTTAGTTTAGGGTTAAGGGTTTAGGGTTTAGGGTTTAGGGTTTAGGGCTTAGGGTTTAGGGTTTAGGGTTTAGGGGGGTTTAGGGTGCTCCCCATCTTGTGATTTTGGGATCCACTCCCCTTCTTGCTTACCCTGAAACCACAAAGGTCCCAACGAAAGAATCCTCGATGTTCTACCAGACTGTCTAGAGTCTAGAGCTGCATCGGTGCCTGGAGCTGCTAACCCAAGGCCCAAAGAAGGAAGACACAACATCATTCATGATTCATCATCCATCACATATCATTCATCACATCATCATTCAATCATTATAATATCAGCATCATCATCCTTTTTATCGTCACCATCACCGTCTCCATCAGCGGCTTCGGCCAAGTTAAGTGAAGGTTTTAGGGTTTGAGTGCAAAGACACATGGCATACATGTATCATATACACTAGCTATATGTACACACATCGATGTTGTTGTGCACACTTCTCGTTGTGTCGTTGGGAAGAGGACTGTATACTTGCTGCATTTCCCTCACAAAAGCTCCCCAAGCCCTCAAAGGTGTTCCTGAGGAAGGCTCCAATCACACACGACAACCCCTCCTAGGCTGGGCTGGTCTGGGTAAAGAATAGAAACCAAACATGAGTGGCACACCTCTCCCCTAAACCCTAAACCCTAAGGTCCCAACGGCCTGGCTTCGGGAATCATGAACAGAGAGGTGTGCCACTCATGTTTGGCTTTGAGTTCAGACTCTCATTCTACATGTCGAACATGTAAGTCTTTACCGTCCTGTTGTGCAGTGTACAGAGCTTACTTAGCTAGTAGATTTATTATAGTGTGGTATATATACATATATTATAAATATATATATATATATAATATGTATATATATATAAAATATATATATATATGTTATAATATATATATATATATTAACCTTAGGGTTTCTTTCTTTCTTTGTATGTAGATGTAGTAGATGTGGTACCAAACTCCCTTCAAGAATACCCCAATATTGTTATACCTGTTATCTCCAGGATTCAGCTGGTGCTGCTAGCGCCACAGCTGCCCGGAGAGCTCCATCGGCTGCAGGCCTCAATCTAGTCAGTACGTTGAACCTAAACTTACAAAGCATTCAAATAACCTAAGCTCAAACTTACGAGAATTAAGCTCCCAAGCCCTGAAACCTAGTTTCACCTGCAGTGAACTAATCCTATCAATGCGATACCCTAAACCCTAAACCCCGAAACCCTAAACCCTATAGTGCTGCTCTCCAGGAGTCGCAGAAACCGAGAATGATGATGATTTTCCAGAGGATGGATATACGTTGACCGGACTAGAGGCGGATCTGTGCATATATACATATATAATATATATATATACATTATATATATTCACACATGCTGCATTAATGTGATAAATTCCATGCCTGTCGCATCTACACAGGAAGCTCAACAGAGGGCTCGACAGGAGGCTGAGCGACAGGCCCAGAAAGAGCAGCAGGCAAAGGAAGCAAAGGCACGTGCAGAGCAACTTGCCAGGAAGCAAGAGGAAGCAAAGAAAGCAAAGGCCCGTGCAGAGCAACTTGCCCAAGAACAACAGGAAGAAAAGGCCCGTGCAGAGCAACTGGCCGAGCAAGAGCGCGAACGGCAACACGCCAGGGATCAGAAGGCAGCAGCAGCAATCGCCCGTGCAGAGCAACTCGCAAAGCAACAGCAGGAAGCAGAGGAAGCCAAGGCCCGTGCAGAGCAACTTGCGAAGCAACAGGAAGCAGAGGAAGCAAAGGCCCGTGCAGAGCAACTCGCAAAGCAACAGCAGGAAGCAGAGGAAGCGAAGGCCCGTGCAGAGCAACTCGCGAAGCAGCAACAGGAAGCAGAGGAAGCAAAGGCCCGTGCAGAGCAACTCGCGAGGAAACAACAGGAAGCAGAAGCAAAGGCCCGTGCAGAGCAACTCGCGAGGAAACAACAGGAAGCAGAAGCAAAGGCCCGTGTGGAGCAACTGGCAAAGGAACAGCAGGAAGCAGAGGAAGCAAAGGCCCGTGCAGAGCAACTTGCCAGGGAACAGCAGGAAGCAGAGGAAGCAAAGGCCCGTGCAGAGCAACTTGCCAGGGAACAGCTGCAAGCAGAGGAAGCAAAGGCCCGTGCAGAGCAACTCGCGAAGGAACAGCTGCAAGCAGAGGAAGCAAAGGCCCGTGCAGAGCAACTTGCCCGTGAACAGCAGGATGCACTGAGACGTCAAGAGCAACTCCAACTTCTGCGAGCAAAGAAGGCAGCACTGGCGGAAGCACAAGCACAGCTACAAGCACTAGAAACTCAGTGCTGGGAGGAGGACAGGAAAGCTGCTGCCGAAATTCTTGGCCAGGTTACCCCATCAATGCCAGGAGCCGGGTGCAAGCCTGAACTGCCAGCAAGTCCAGCTCCGTTACAGAGGACCACGACCCCGACCGAGGCGGAGTCCCCCCTATCCTCCTGGAGTCAAGATGCTCAGCCACGCGAGCTTTTCCCAGCATCCCCCACTCCGCCCGAAAGCACTTTGCCTTCCCTGCCCAAAGGGACTTTGCCTTCCCCGCCCAAAGGAACTTTGCCTTCCCCGCCCACAGTGGTGTCTGCAGTCAAGTCGGCACCAAGTGTGCCCAAACACATGCCTGCTGCAATCGCAGCCTCGCAATCCATGCCCCCTCCACCAACCGATGCGGCGATCAACCGGAGATTGAGTCGGGCCATGGAGCCCAATGCCCGTGGGGAATTCAAGATAGCAGAAAGAATCAGGAAGCAGTGGCACGATGGTGGTGACTCCAAGAATGGAGTCATCCGTCTTTTTGCCAAGTGCGGCTACAACACGGACGGGCTGCTGTCATGTTGTGGCATGCATACACAGTATATTATATATATATAATGTATATATATATATATATTATATTGTATGTGGCATGCCACATCATTCGCAGGAGCTCTTTGTGAGGCGCTTCTCTGCGAAGACGGAGAAAAGCAAGGAAATGGAACTCGTTGTGGACTTCGATTTCTTGTCAAAACAAGAAATGAAAGATGAGGGAATGGAAGCGAGCTTTGCCTAAAATTGACGATGTTGTTAATGTGTAAACACTAAACCCTAAACCCTATATCCTAAACCCTAAATGCTACAACATAATCCGTGAGGTTGTGCAGGCTTCGTAGCCCCTTGAAACCCAGCAAGCTCGAGGCCCTAAACCCATAACCGGAAAGTTTAAAGGCTCACCCCTTGAATTTCGCAGTCTTCAGGCCTGACTTAGTTGATGGGTGGTTTTTGCTTATGTTGCAGTCTTATATCCAGTCTACCCTTAGAAAGCTCATTAATGTACGGGGTTTCTAGACTTCTTGCCTAGACTATTGAGGTTTGCTGGAGGGGTTAAGTATAATATCATAGTGATCATATATTAACAAATTCCTGTGGGACCTTGAGAGACTCCCTTCTTCTAGATTGATATATATATATATATATTCTAGTTACTAAACCCAGCAACACTTCCAACCACATGTTTCCCTATATTCTTCTTAAACCCCAAAGACTCTTAAACCCCAAGCCCAGGGATGACATCGATGCCTGTGTGGCAGCGGCGCAGAAAGACCCAGATCACCTCATCGTGACACGTGTTGGCAAGTCTTATACTTTAGCCGAGGTGGTTCTTGCATGTGTGTGTGTGGGGATTGATGATTCAACTAAGGAAGCACCCCTACAAAAAGGGTGTTTTGAGGTACTACTGTGAGAAGAGGATGCGGGGTCACAAGAAGAGTCTTGGCTGTCTCACAGGGACTTGTGCAAATTTCATCCTTAATGTGTGTGCATGACTCAGGGCATCGGCGAAAGCTAGCATCACAGACGAGTTTAGCTTGGAGACCGATACGGATACGATGGACTTGAATATGGACTTGGGGAGCAGTGTGCTTCAGCATCCGTCCAGTAGCTCTACTGCACTGCCTGTGTGCATGCATCATGCAGACTCGAGTGGTCGATGACAGCTCAGGTGAGCGACCGGCTTCGCTCGACGACGCGGCCGACGGCATTTTGCATCGCCCACCCGCGAACGAGGAGACAGCTCGACTCTTGAAACGCCTGGGATACCCCGAGATTGCAGAAGCGACGAGGCCCTCGACCCTTCTCACCAAGGCCCGCGATGCATGCCAGAAGAGGCTTAAACGGCTAGAGGAACTAATGCCCCAGAATACCAACATCGCTGACTTCGAAGCTGAACCTGATCCTGCTGGTTCCCAAACGTTGTATGACAGGCGCCTGGACCGAACTATATGTGCACATGCCCAAGACTAACAAACTTGAGACGAAATCCCAACATCGCTTCTCTCAGGATGATGACCAAAGTGGTGAGGATGTACCGGAACATGGATGACTGTTGCGATGCTCTCACGAAATTCCACACAGATGGTATCGCGGAGGGCTTCGATGATGAGTGGCTTGGATCGCATCTTTGTTCCCACATGTCCGACGAAGTCTACTATATGCTTAACCAGCTACCCTATGTATTCTCAGGATGGAAAGCCGGATTGATGTTGCCCTCGGCAAGTGTCGCAAACTGAACCTTCTCTGCATAGAATGGGAAATACACAGTGTTGTATATCGGTACAACATATTAGATTGATCGGATGGCAACGATCATGGACTAAGGGTGCTCGAATCAGCCGACCTCGAGAGCCGGGCAAAGACCCCTGGCGCAAATAACCCCTTTATCCTAAATAACCCTGATTAATAAATTTACACTCATAAACCAAATCTAAACCCCTTCAACCCCTAAACTCCTAAACCCTAAACCCTAAATATCCGAAACCCAGAAAACCCTTAAACCCTGAAGCCTCACTACAAGCCCTTCCTGAATTCCGAAGGACTGTCTTGCCAAAGAAGGACGTGCCTACGGAAAAGGTTCCTCCTCCTAAAAAGGCAGGAGGGCACCGGGTCAAGACGCCACCTCCCAAGAGCCCGAAGAAAGCCCCGAAGTCCGGTGACAAGGCACCAGCCCCAGCCAAGACTCCCGGCCCGCCGGCAAAGCGCCAGAAGAAGGCCTAGTAAGAGCTTGGTGGGCTCTTTTGTTGACAGCTGTGCTAGGAGGGCTCCGGTGGTGTAGTGCATGTGACAGTATGCTCAACCTTCAACCTCCGGGCCTGACATGCAACGTGTGGTCTGACTTGATGAGAATGGGGAGCCCTCCTATTCGGCTGCTATGAAGATTTTGGATGATCCTACAAGGGTCGTGGAGTCGTGCTTGGAAGCACATGCTGCAGAAATTGTTATGCCTGCCGTGCCAAGCCTCTGCATGCATTCAGTCGTTTGTGATTGATGAATCATGGATTATATGCCCCTGGGCAGGTGCCGACTTGCAAGCAAGTCAGACCCTCCGTGTGCTTGCGGAACGTGTGGCCGATGGGGCTGGGGGTCTCAGATCTAATCGATGAAAACCGTAAAGCCTGAAACCCTAAACCCTAAACCCAGACGAGCGCAGAAATCCCATCCTGTACACCTATATCGTCCGACCCCACCCTAGACAGCTATATTTATTTAACCATAGAGAAAGAATCAACAACCATGCAGCCCGACTGCAGTCCTGCTGTGTGCTAGAAAAGCCCAATCAATGTCTAGACTAGGATGGATCATACAAAACCTCGTCTATGAAGACTAGAATTTAAAGTCACGCACCTAAACCATGTCCTTCTATATATGCATATAAGCTGAAACATCGCTCGATCCAAATCACACCGGTGAGCCCCCTTCCAACCTAGAACATATAGCTTTGATGTCTAATAAAATACTAAAACCCTAAGCCCTAAACCCTAAACCCTAAACCTGATGTCTGATAAAATACTTAAACCCTGATCCTTGGCTTTTCTAAATGATTTCCACTTAATGTTTCACCCAGGCTCCAGCATGCATCATCGGCGAAGTGGCCGATGCAGTGGTGAGTGATGGCAGCGCAGTAGCAGGCCTGAGAGAAGCTGCTAAAGTAGATAAACACCACAGTGAGAGAAATGCTCATCGCCTCTTTAACAGGTATGGCCTGTCACTGCGGGTACCAATTTCCCAGCTAGAGGTATCCCAAACATCTTCAGAGGATTCTGTGACAATACCATTCCTCAAGCTTTCTGACTTTCTTCAACTCCTACTCAACAAGTATGAGCAGCTCATGTTCGGTGGCCTAACAGCAGCTACATCCCGACAACTTCTTAGTTCGTTTTGGTCCAGATATCAAAGCTACCACAAGAATCATGTTGTCTACTCTTTGTCCGAAGAAGAGCGATCCCTCTGCATCCCGGTGCTTGTCCATGGAGATAAGGGGAGGACCTTGCAAAAATCACCGATTTTTATCTTGGGTTTCCAGTTTCCATTCGGGCTACCTCCAGAGCTGTTGAGAAGGGTGTCGTATGATGCAAGCCGCAGCACCAGGAATGTAGAGGGGGGACGTTTGAACCAACCTTGTAGTTGCCGGGCCAAGAAGCGAACTTTGCAAGAAACGGATTTCTCTGCATGTACCCGCAATGACCCCGCCAAGGTCTTAGACCCCAATTACCCCAAGAGCCACCAGAGACACAACAACAAAGGACATAGTTTCTTGAGTCGCTTCTTGATCTGTGCCGTTCCCTCCAAGACCTACAAGAAGAACTCGAATGTACTTCCAAGTCTGCTGAAGCAAGTTTCTCAAGAGCTGAAGGTACTTTTTGAGTCGGGTCTTACGCATAGCAAGACTGGCATCAGGTACCGGTTCGTACTGATAGGGGCCAAGGGAGACGCCGAGTGGTACTTTGAAGCAGGCAACTTTAACCGGAGTTATCATCGAACCGGCCCGGTCAATGCCCTCAAGATCTGCCCTTTATGTGATGCGGGTGCCGAAGGCATTCCGTACTCCGATGTGAGTAGTGCACCCGAGTGGCTCCGTACAGTGGGCTCATCGGAGCCATGGCTTGAGACGCCTCCCCTGAACGAGGCGCCCTTTTCAAGGGACTTCCGGGCAAACCTCTACAAATTTGATCCATTTCATGTTTTGAAATTCGGCATCTTTCGTGATGCTGTGGCCAGCACCATAATCAGACTTGCTTTCATGGGCTTCTTCGACTTTACAGCAGGGGAGTCCCGTGGTGTCCCTGAACGACTGCTTCGGGCATTTTCGCTCTACAAGCTGTGGTGCCTGGCAGAGAAGAAGAATCCTTCACTTAAGACCTTCAGTCGGGCAAACATGAACTTTGACAAGAACTACTTCTTTGCTTGGATCAATTGCAAGGGCAGCGAAGTCGTGCTGCTGATGCAGTGGCTGGCTTTTCTACTTCCTAGCTTGGAACCGCGGCAGGAAAGCGAGGTCGTAGTTCTCAAAGCGATGTCTCAGATGATTGAGGGAGGCTTATGCTACATAGGCGTTATGCACTCGCATGGCCTGTGGCTTCCTCGATGTTGTGCCCGGGTCCAGCTGGAGGGAGGGTTTTCTTTCGTGCGAGGATATGCATGGATGGCACAGTACTGTACCAATGCAGCGCTGCCTGGCTACCGTTTGCGCCCCAAATTGCACTATATGATGCATATTCTCATGGATGCACAGTCCCAGTACTCCCAAGGAGCAGAATTCATCCTTAGTTCTTCAATTCACCTTTGTGAGATGGATGAGGACTACATAGGACGGCTGAGCAGGGTTTCTCGCCGTGTTGCGGCCAAGACGGCGGGATATAGGACGACACAACGTTATCTCACGAAGTTGAGGTTACTGCTCGACAAACTTTTCAAGTAGCTTCCCCGTGTTAGCGACTTAATCTCTTAAAGCTTAAACCCTATCGATCTGAACCCTAAACCTCAAACCCTGTCTCTATCCATAAACCCCAGAGCACAGACCCAAACAATTTGAGTGCAGTGCTATATAGGACAATAAAGCATGCTGCAAGAGGGAGCTACAAGAGAGACATGCAGAAGCCCAGACCTTCATGGCAGAAAAGGAGAGGCCTGTACTGTGGTGACTCAGCAATGCAAGCGTTTTGATGATTGCGCTTTTTTCAAGAAATGGCGCTTTTTATCTGAAATAGCGCTTTTCGGTTGAGTTTCGCATTGTGGCGTTAATTTGGCGGGGGCGGGTTCTCCAGGTACATACATACATACATACATACGTACATACATACATACATACATACATAAATACATACATACATACATACATACATACATACATACGTGAGTACATGCATACATACATACGTACATACATACATGCATCCATGCATGCATGCATACGTACATACATACATGCATACATACATGCATGCATGAGTACATGCATACATACATACGTACATACATACATGCATCCTTGCATGCATGCATGCATGCATGCATGCATGCATGCATGCATACGTACATACATACATGCATACATACATGCATGCATGCATACATACATACGTACGTACATGCATGCATGCGTGCGTGCATGTATGTGTGTGCGTATGCATGTACAATAAACATAGGGTTTAGGGTTTATGTGGGTTTACGGCTTGAGGTTTAGGGTTTGTGTTGGGGTCCTATGGAAGTCTCTGCTGTACCGGGTTCGCTTTGGGACCCTCTGGATTCTCCGCTAACACACCAGCGCGTATAGGAATGTCAGTGCCCATCAGCCAGGAATTCGTAGACCAACAATCCAAACCCTGAAGCCCCGAAATGCCAGTACTCGCACAGACCCTAAAGCCTGAACCCCCGACCTGCAAGCTCCAAGAACGGTCAGCCGCAGATTGGTAGGCCACCCTAAACCCTAAACCCCTAAAACCCTAAACCCTAAACGCCTAAACCCCAAACCCGAAACCCTAAACCCGAAACCCTAAAGCCAAGCATCCCAATCTTTCTTGCAAGGCCGAAGTCTGAAAGCTTCACTCTGCACATACCTCCCGCTGTCTCCATCGGCTTTTTTCCAGAGGGTTTTAGGGGTTTAGGGTTTAGGGTTTCGGGTTTAGGACCTGTGCCCCCCCCCCCACAAAAAAAAAAAACCTACCTTCTTAAGGACTTATATCTAGAAACCATAGTAAGGAACCCCTAAAGCGGTAGGGTTGTTTGACTACAGGTAGGGTTTAGGGTGCTAAGCCCGAAACCCCACATCGTCTTCCTGGGATGGGCTCCTCTTGGAGATCATGGTTGGGGGCTGCGGGCTTGCCTCGGGTCTAACGCTCAAGGCGGGGGTTTTGGATTTAGGGTTTAGGGTTTGGGGTTTGGGGTTGTTCTTGGTGTGTTGGGTCCAACAGCTTCTGGAAGGGCTATACATCTTAAGGCTGTGTGGGGTTACATCTTAAGGGTGGGCCAGGGACAGCCTGGTTTAGGGTTTCGTGCTCTGGATCAACAATAGACTTTATACAAGCTTTCCGGTCTAGTGTGTAGGGTTTGTGCTACGGCTTAAAGTTGGTAATTAGTAACTCCGCGTGGGCCGATGGGCAACTGATGCATACGGATACGTGATTAGTAAACCTCCTCAAAGAGCACTGCACTCGTGTCCACATCGCACTCATTTTCACGGGAAAGGTGCTGAAGGCCAAGCATCCCTAAACCATAAATCCCTGCAGAAAACCCAAAGAAACCCTAGCCCCTAAACTCTGACTTCTGCGTTTACAACGGAGCCTAGACTCGTGGGGCTCATTAAGTTCAGCTTGGGCTTCTGCGATGAGCGATGGGTCCAAGGAATCCTTCTTGACTTGCTAGACTCTATCTACCCATATGCTCCATACTCGTTCCTTTTTGAGATTACCTTATAGGATCCTAAATATAAACCATAAACAGGAACTAGGATGGGGCCTAATGGGCATAGGTTCAAGACGACTTCGGGTTCCTTGAAGTGTAGGGCCTTTTCGAGGGGTTAGAGCTTCTGTAAGTGTTTAAAGATTCGGCTTTTGGATCCATGGTGAAGGTGTCAAGCTGCGGCCTAGAGTTTAAGGAGTGGGTTCGGTTCTTGTAGCAAGTCAACCGTGGGACTTCCGGTGTTGAGATAGCTTCTGAGGCCTGCGTTATAGAGTCCTAAACTCTAAGCCCTAAGCCCTACAACCTCAAAACATGCACACCCAACGCCTTTCAACCTGAACCTTCAACCCTAGAAAACCCCTGAACCCTAAACCCTAACCTCAAGAGGCTTGAGGTGTCTGTTGAGTTACTGGTATACAGTAAAGCCCTAGAGCTCCCTGCACCCTGCAATAAGGCTTGGACTTTGGACTCTTTCAGAGGCCGGTAGATGCAAATCGGGTCGAAGTTGTTCGAAAACAAGTCTACATGGATTCGCATTGACGTGTCTAGCTGAATGGTTTTCAGGGCCATGCAACCGGCTCACGAGGCCAAGACCGACAGCAAATCAAGGCGACAACCATAGCCGTCAGCACCATGGCCAGAATGCTAACCCAAAGCCCTTCAATCTTTACGTACTGTACACCTATGTAGATAGTATATATTATGTGTCTGTTCAAAATCCAACCTTAATTAACCTCAACTCACACTGAAGGAAGGTTTGTGGCAAGCAGCCATCTTCGTCAGCTAGCTGATCTTGGATCAGGTAGTTCCTGGCAAAGAGAGGCTTGGACAGCCTCCAGCCGCTAAACCCGCGACCCGAGCCCCAAAGACCCCGAACCCTAAATCCTAAACCCCGGAATCCTATACATTAAACCCAAGGTGCTGGATCCCAAAACCATGAACCGAGAACCCGAATTCTTGAAACCCCCCCGCGCTAAGGCCCTGAATACTACATCCGAAACTTACATATGTACACAAGATCTCTACATATATATATATATACCTGTTGATTGATTGATTGACTGATTGAATGTGAATTCGTCGACTCAGGTTGCAAGAAGTCTCGAGAATAAAGACTGGTGGATGCTGTCGGCACCTTTTTTGCCGGACTGGAGTAGTAGAAGTACCTAGATCGCAGATATAGGATGGGAAACGCGCAGGTCGTAGACCCTAAGCCTGAGGTTGAGCACCCCCAAAAAAGATCCCCTCGCGATGCTTTTGGGCTGTGCGTGGTCTAAGGTTTTTTGAGCCTTGAGCTCAGGGTTAAGGTTCAGAGTTTTCCCGTGGCATGAAAAAACAGACCTTTTTACGGAATTGTATTAATACATATAATATTATATATATATATGTATATATATATATACATATATACAGGTATACAGAAGCCATAATAAGGAAACACAAAAAAAGGATTAACGTAGGGTTTAGGAATTTCGGGTTTGAGCTTGGGAGTTTGGGGTTCAGGCTTGCGATTTTCCCTCTACGGCTAGAGAAAGTTCAAGCCATAGTACCTGTAGTCTCCATTGCAGTTGCTTCTTGGGGTTACTTTATAAGATCCTAACTACAAAACTGGTTAAATAAACCAAAAGACTGTAGAGAACCCTACATCCTAAACCCTAGCCATCGAATCTGAAAACCCAAGTCGCTCAACAGCACACTCACCAGGAACCGGCTCGGAGTCCCTACCTGTAGGCTCCATTGTAGGGTTGAGGGTCTGGGGTTACCTTATATCGGCATGATCGCTTTGGATCCAAGGGTTTCAAGAGCAAGGGCTTGAATAGTAACAGTGGCGTGAACGAACCTAGCTAGGAATGGAGAAATGTAGACCCTAACCCCTAAACTCTAAACCCTAAAGAAGATTCAGATAAGTATCTCTGGCTTCACATCCCGGTGGATAATCCAGTTGTGGTGCAGGTATCCGATGCCGACCTTGCAGACTGAGGGTTTAGGGTTTAGGGTCCAGGCGGGTATAACCGTATAACCTAGTCCTCGCCCTTCTCGGACCACCACGGCCACGACGACGACTGCTACTGCCAGTGCTAATACTGCTAATACAACGGTTGATGATATAACACATCCTGCAGTACCTTAAGGACTTAAGGACCCTGAACTATGGGCATTATTATGGTATATATCCTGACTACGTGGTAATGCAGAATTTATCTCATCAACCGTAGCGCGACTACGACGACGACAAGTTCTACTCCTGGTCCTTGGTTCTGCTGTGGCTGCTGGCTGCTGCTACAGTTGTTTCTGCGGCTGCTTCTGCTGATTCTGCTGCTGCTGCTGCTGCTAAGCAGAATAATGAATATAGTGATTCTTAATATTATTATCAGGAAGGACCATAATCACGATGGCAACAGTAACACTAAGAATAAAAACTGTAAAAGTTCGAATAGTAACAAGAAGCATTGGAAACACTAATGGTATGAATCAATAACAACGTCAACCACAATGCTAGTGCTAGTGAACGGACGAATACTCCTGGTAACGTCGGGGCGAGAAGTCCTCAACAGCAGCATCAGTGTTGGCGGTTGTGAGTCTTCCCATACAACTCCTCACAGTCGCCATCCTCAACCTCATCCTCGCAGTCATAGCGGTGCCCTTATTGATTGCTGATTTCGTCATCACCATCAGCACCATCATCCTGTCATAAGTCTCCTGAACCACGCGTTCATTTGCAGAAGTATGTTTCTTCTCGGCCTTCAATGCATTCACGCTTACCCCGCTCAGGCCGAGCAATACGGAGTGGTCGTAATTGCCGCCGACCAATGGCGACAACATGAAACGACTGAGAGCCTGATGCCGTACAGTAGTTGGACGACCCGAGAAGCAAGGTTATTGCTGCAAGGGTGTGCATCTATGTCGGTAGTAGGGATGTTAGGATATACGAAGCAAAATAGGGAAGAGCTCACACCTCGGGGGGCTGCGAGGACATGCTCTCACAAACCTGCCTCGATGGGTTTTAAAGCCTCGACACTTTCAGTAAAAAACTTGCACTTCAACGTGTATGAGGGCTCCCTTCAGCTGCAAAGCTATATACCATGCGTGCGCAGTATCTCCGAACCTCTGTGGCTCCCCTCCCAAAGAGCTCATGGTCAAGATGACATCTCGGTAAAAGCCCTGGGCCCCGAACCCTCTCCCTCTCCCCCTCCCTCTCTCTCTATATTGTCTGCTTGTACCTTACAGCCATAAGAAAATATTTTGGCCATGAGGAACCCGGAGCCAACGTCGAGTCTAGTTTTGAAGAGATCCCCATCTGCTGGGATGGGCCCTTGTTTGAAGATGACTCAGATGGGTAATTCTCAAATTCTCTAAGTAAGGGTCTCGTTTTAGCAGCCGAACAGAAGGCGGGACCCTCATCACAAAGCTCGTAAGTTCACCAACTAACTTCAGATGCCCAAAGCCCAAATCTCGATCTTAATCCCGCGACATCAAGCGCTAAAAGAATAAGCACCCTTCGAAAAGCGCGTTCAGAAAACACCGACAGCGAAGAAATCTTCAGCCCTCAAACAAACCAGCAACAACTTGGAGCTATGCAAACTCCGGGCGGGAACACTGGCTTGAATACCCAAAAGCTGGGCAGTTGATGTATGAAAGACAGGTAAAGCAAAACCTACTCACCGTACTAGACCCCAAACCGCTGAACACCCCAAAACCCTACACCCTTAAAGTCCCAAGCCGAAAAAAACCAACAAAAAAAACGAAACCCTAGACCCTAAACCCTACACCCTGAAAGCCCCAAGCCTAAATACCCCGGAAAACCCGAAACCCTAAACCCTACACCCCTAAATGACCTCCCCAAAAAATCCCTCAATTCCCAACTCCCAAACCCATCTGAGGCTCCAGCCAACATATACCCTAAACCCTAAACCCTACACCCCTACAGTCTGAGGCTCCGGCCAACATCTGCCACAAGATGCCCGCTGCCAGCCAGGTCTCAGGCGGCCTGAAGAGGGCTGAGTTAGGGCTTAGGGCTTACTTGGAGGTTCATGGGGAGTTGTAAGTGGGGTTATCAGTAGGGTAACTATCCATATTAGGGGACTTATAACCCTACTTATAACTACCCATGAACCTCCAAGTGGGGCTTAGGGTTTAGGGCTTTAAGGGCTTTAAGGGTTTAGGCTTTAGGGCTTAGGGTTTAGGGCTTTAAGGGTTTAGGGCTTAGGGTTTGGGGTTTAGGGCTTTCAGGGTTTAGGGTTTAGGGCTTTAAGGGCTGTAAGGGTTTGGGGTTTAGGGCGTTAAGGGTTTAGAGTTCTTGTTAAAGGCTTTCGTTTAAGTTACCGTAATAGGGGATCTATCGTGAATAAATCGGGTTTCTTTATTATTATGGTAACCTAAAATAACCAAACCCAGGAGTTCCCCGGGGCTGGGCGAGCTCAGGGCGTCGCCCCGCTTTAGTGGGGTTTAATATGCGGTTTCAAGCTTAGGGTTTTAGGGGGCTAGGGTTTGGGGTTTTAGGGTTTGGGGTCTTTAAGGGCTTGGGGTTTAGGGCTTAGGGGCTTAGGGTTTGGGGTTTAGGGTTTAGGGCTTAGTAACCCTCCCCCCCGCCCCCCCCCCCCGCAAGGTTGGAAACCGGATTAAGGACAAGAGTTGCTGGCATTCGAGGCTATTGGGCTTCCTTGGGTTTGGGGTTGAGGGTTTCCACTTTAGGGTGAGGGGTTGAGGCCAATCCAGCATCCTGGATCACTTACGCCTTACATTTCTCGAACCGAAAGCAAAGACCCATGGCTGCAGATCATGGATGGTTACCCTAAACCCTAAACCCCTATACCCTAAACTCTAAACCCCCAAACCCCTAAACCCCTAAATTCCTAAACCCTACACCCCTAAACCCCTAAACCCCATAAACCCTAATCCCGAACCCTAAACCCCTAAAGCCTAACCCCAAACCCTAAACCCCAAACCCTAAACCCCTGAACCCTATAAACCCTAAACCCTGGACCCTAAACCCCTAAACCCTAAACCCCTAAACCCTAAAAACCCTAAACCCTGGACTCTAAAACATCGGAAAGTTCGGCTCTGAAGCTGCAAGACGGGCGCTTTTTACGGCGTTGGAAGGATGATTGTGGGATGTGGCGATGTGGGGCTTGGGCTCACAGTTTAGTGTTCAGGGTCTAGAGTTTATTTTTATTTTTTAATGGGGTTTAGGGGTTTAAGGGTTAGGGTTTTAGGGGTCCGGGTGTTTAGGGTTCAGGGCTTAGGGTCTCAGGGTCAGGGTTTAGGGGGCAGTGTGAAATGGGCTGGCATGCCTGATCCTGCTATGTTCATATGGTTTGCAAGGATTCGGAGGGCTTCCTGGGAGGTGTAGGTGAATGAAGCCACCAGAAGAGATGTAAGGTGGATTCCTATGAGATAGTCTTCCTGAGATGGTGCTTGGTTGGTAGTTCGGATTGAGCTCAAAAGTGCCGGGGAGGTGGGAACAACAAGCCTAGCCCCCTTACTTCAGCCCTAAACCCTAAACCCTAAGCCCGGCCTATACGTCTTTGGTGCACCGCCGACCAAGCGCTGCTCCCGGAGCTTCATCCACATCATCAGATCCTCAGGATTTTACACTTTAGGGTTCAAGGTTTAGAGTTTAGGGTTTAGGGTTTAGGGCTTTGGAGTTCTTGAGGTTGATAACATGCTCTCTTCTTTGGCACCAGCTTTCCCAAACTTGTTTAAGAGTGTGCGATGTCGTCATATCCTACTACAGTAATTGCATCTACTTGATGTGCTTTCGCTTTGCAGGCGTGCAAAATTGGTTGAGGTAGTCCGTGCTGCCCAGCGCCTCCTCTACCGTGATGACTGAATCCAGATATTGTAGGTCTCGTTTAACTTAGATGCCCAAAGAGAGATAGAGAGGGAGCTAGAAAGGACACAGCTGACGGCATAAGTTTCTGCTTGTAGGACTAAGAAGAAGACTTGAAGCTTAAACCCTACACCCTGCACCTTAATCCCTAAACTCTACACCTTCGACCATAATCCCTAAACCCTACATCCGAAACCTTAAACCCTAAACATCCCTTTGGGCTATCTGGGTTTGGTGTCTCGGAGTTGAGGGCTCTGGCGTTGAGGGTTTAGGGGTTTAGGGGTTTAAGGTTTAGGGTGTTGGGGTTTAGGGCTTTGGCGTTGAGGGTTTAGGGTTTAGGGGTTTAGGGGGTTAGTTTATGGGTTTCGGGGATGAGGGTTTAATGTTTTTGTCTAGTTCAATGCTCATGCTGTGCCAAGTATCCCCGCCGGCACAATAGTCCATGACAAAAAACAGTACCTCGTCCTCTTCCTCATCGTCCTGCCCCCCCCAAACCCTATAAACCCTAAACCCGAGGTTCAGATGTCGCTCTTGAGCTGTTGAGGGCTTTTGGGGCTCAGGCTTCGGAGATTCGGAGCATCGGGATTTAAGCGCCGCCCCTAGCATACCAAAGGTTTAAGGCTTAGGATTCATGCAGGGTTTAGGGTTTAGGGCTTTGGGTTCAGGGTTTAAGGTTTAGGGCTTAGGTCCTAAAATCGCTTAGGTCATGTACGGCTCACAGCTACGACAGGTGCCGTAAGAGCAAACACATGCGCTCCCAACAGGCGTCCCATCCTGCTGGTTGTGAAAACATATCCCGGTAACCGAAGCTTAAACCCTTTAAATCCTAAACCCTAAACCGTGCGGGGCTGCTGTTTGTAAACACATGCCGGTACGCGAAGCCTGAACCCTGAACCCTGCAACCTTGCGAGCCTCAAGCCGCAAGCCTGTGTCAGAAACACTAGGCCCTATTAAAGAAATTAGGCATGTAGGGATCCAGGGGATCGGTGACTCAGGGGTTATCGGGCTCAGGGTCTAAGAGTTTAGGGTTTCTGGTCGGCTTTAGGGTTATTAAGGCTTCACACATCAAAACCCACTGGAACCTGGAGCCGCTACATTTTCAATTCCTTTAGGACCTCTGCAACATCCACAGGCCTACTGGTTCATGGGTAGTTACAAGTGGGGTTAGAAGTAGGGCGACTATAGTGATAACCTATATATTAGGGGATTTAGAACCCTACTGATAACTACCCCTAAACCCTAAACCCTAAACCCTAAACCCTACTGAGAACTACCCACGAACCCCCAAGTTGGGGGCTTCGGGTTCAGAGCCAAGGGGGAAGTGGCCTCCATGTGTAGCCTCATTCGGGGGAGTCGGGCCTAAGGTATGCAGGCCCTTGCGTAAGCTGGATACCCTAATCCTACAGGTGCAACGGCATCTTGAGCCTAAGGCTATTTAAGTGCTGAGTTGCCGCTTTCAAGTTCAGATTTCAGACGTGTTACAAGAGCCTCCTCCGCGTTTTGCAGTTTGCGGCTTTTCTTGAGATCATGGTTTTATAGTGTTTGGGTCTACTTTTTAGGTGTTCCGAGTGTTAAACTCCCAAAACCCGTGGCCAGGATTATATAGTTGCCGATGGAGGCACCCTAGCCCCTAAACCCTAAACCCTATATTCGGCATGAGGATCTATGCCTTCAGCTGAGATGGAGAGGAGCTCTTGGCTGAACGAGGTTTCCGAGCTTCGGATATTAGAGGGTAGTGTAGGGGGAAGGCCTCCACATGCCGACATCTGGAGTGGCACCTAAACCCGAAACCCTAAACCCTAAACCCCTAAACCCCTAAATCCCCTAAACCCTGAACCACTGAACCCTATAAACCCTATAAACCCTAAAGTGGAATGTCCGATGTCTTGGCATGGCCGGGACAGTAAGCAACTGCCGATTATGCAGGGTTTAGGGTTGAGGGGCTTAGGGTTTAGGGTCTAGGGTTGAGGGGTTTAGGGTTCAGGGTTGGTTAGGGTTCAGGGTTGGGGGTTTAGGGTTGAGGGGTTTAGGGTGGAGGGGTTTAGGGTTTAGGGCGGACTTGTGTAAGGCCAAAGCATGTAATTATACTACTTGGGCACATGGACCCTTGGGGATATTTCTCAACCGCAAGCGCCCATAGTAGACTGAATTGCAAGAACGACCGCTAACCCCAGACAAGCAGGCGGTTGCGTCAGCTACTGACCGGTGCCACCTATAAGACCCTAAAGCGCGCAGTGTCAGTGTCTCCCGGAGAATGTTGTAGAGGCGGACGATGTACGGATTGTCGAGAACCTTCGCCGCGACATAGGGTTTATGGTTTCGGGGACGAAGTATGGAAAGTCGAGAGCCGGCGCGAGCGAAGGAATGCAGTAGGCCCAGATGGGTGGTCTTAGGTGCATTACGCTGAGCTGCAACTTTAATTTGTTTATCTATGTATATGATGCGGGGTCGGAAGAATCAGCAATAACGTAACCTTATTGTCCCGAATATTGCCATAATACAAACCTATCACAAATCCGTATTCTCTATATTATCCCCTACATTCGCCAGTCAATCTATTTAGGTGGCCAGCTCGCAGTTAGAGACCAACCATGCAATGAACGCATACAGCATACGTAATAACTGACACGTGGCACCAGTACAGGCGCATAAGCACATGACGACATAAATGTCTCTTTATGTCTCCACACACAAACATATCATATACACAAAAACGAGTGTATACATACACTCTCGTACATGCATACATAGCTCTACCAGGCTCTACCATACATGCATGCATACATACAATCCATCCATCCATCCATCCATCCATCCATCCATCCATCCATCCGTGCATGCATGCATACAAACATACATACAAACAAACTTAAACTAACATACATACATGCATACATACGTACATACCTACATACGTATGTACGTACGTACGCACATACATACACACACCCATGCATATTCACCGACCTACTTACCTACCGACGCGCCCACCTACTGCATACATACACACATAGATATATCCAATGCGCCTGGAGGTATGCAAAAGATACACACTATATCAAACAACTGCAGCAGCAGCAGCACCACCCCCACCAACGACAACAACAACAACAACGAGGCAAACAACAACGAGAAAGGCTAAGACATGCAAACCAATGCGTGGACACAAACAAATGTTGAACTGCACTGAGGAAAGGACAACGCACATAGAACACGAAACGCAAGCACAAGCTTCCAGCAACTGCAGGTTTGATTATGTTGCAGGGTTTAGGGCTGGATGTCGGATCTAAGGCGCCGAGGCCGAGTGAGTGTTGCTTGCAAGTAGGCGCCGAGCGACGACGCGGTCAAGTTCCGGACCGGCACTAGACCGTGACCGAATAATTAGAGTAGGGGAATCCCTTCTTGTCCCTAGTTACATGACTGCAGCACAACTCTGGCATGACCTGCTCTATGGCAAGACCCTCAAGCCAGATCCCAACCGTGTTCGAAAAACGACACTACAGACTCTACCTGCTACCTTTCGTGTTCTGGCCTTGAAAACAGCCAGCTCGGCGGAGGTGTGCTTGTTTTGCTGCACACGCCTGCAGTCCATTGAGGCAAATGCAGAGTCGCAAACTCTAAACCCTCAGGACTCAACTCGAAGCGCATGGACTCTTGGCCGCTACGCCCTCAGATAAAAACCCTAAGCCCCCTATTCTCCAGGCTACAAGCCCTGAAACGCGAAGCTTCTATCCCCAAAGGCTCCCATGATGCCCCCGGGACACGGATAATGATTAATTAGAGCCTAGCTTCAAAGGCTGCTTTCTTCACCGGGCAGACGCTTAGTCTTGCCTCTTCTTCTTCGGCAGCAGCAGCAGCAGCAGTAGTAGAAGAAGTGGTAGTGGTGGCAATAGTAGTAGTAGTAGTAGTAGTAGCAGTAGTAGTAGTAGTAGTAGTAGCATTATTAGTAGTAGTAGTAGTAGTAGTAGCAGTAGTAGTAGTAGTAGTAGCAGCAGTAGCAGTAGCAGCAGCAGTTTTCTGGTTCCAGAAGTGGCGGTAGCAGAGTAGCAGTTCTCTTTCAATGAATCACGAGCAGAGGAACTCAAGCTTGGGTTTGGCGAAAGTTGAATACAACCCTACCCCTTCTAGTCTCAATCCCTAAACCTCGCAACCCTAAGCCCTCAATGACCCTCAGCTGCAAACCTGTAGGCTGCGACAGGGGCTGTGTTGAAAACTGGGGGGGGGGGATCCAAATATCAGACAGGCCGACAAGAGAGATCATCTGACATATCGGAGCCCTGTGCGACTTGAGGTGTGTGTTCTGATTTTCAGTTCAGGTTGCTCAAGTTCGGTCGTGCTCGGGAAGTGGAGGCACAAGGTTGGGAGGTGTGATGCAACATGGTCATGGACAAATCTATGAGAATTTGTTGGACAAGGAGTGTTCAACGTGCTCAAGTTTGTGTCTGTTGACAGGCAGGTCGTGCTGAATCGGCATTCAGGCTCGGGAACCACATTGTGATTTCGATGATCATAACGATGATGCTGATGAGAGGATGGTGATCATGATGATGATGGTGATAGTGTGACGGTGGTGATGGCGAGTATGATGAGAAGGATGATAATATGATCATCATTATGATGGCGATGATACTTGTGAACTCGTGACTCTCGGGAAGGTGAAGGCTATGATGATGACGAGGACCGGGACGATGATGCTGATGGCGATAATGCCGACGACGACGATGATGATGATGGTGATGATGTTGAAGGCGTATACTTGAAGGAAGACACGGCAACAAACAACGGTTTGACTCATGATTAGAAATGGAAGATGCTTCAACACGGAGCCCTATCTTCGTCAAGCAAAGCCGGAAACCCACCAAAAAGCTAGTTAGAGCAATCAACTACTGGGTGCTGGCATGGAGACGGCTTCCCTATGGCGAATCAGCCCCTTCTGCCAAATGCCTGGAAACACCCCATCTACAGCCTGAAGGTGAGCAATGGGTCCAAATGTTAGTTAAATACACCTATAACCTATATGTACAGACATACATCCACACACACTGACACACACACACACATACATACATACATGCATGCATACATACATACATGCATGCATACGTACATGCATACATGCAGACAGACAGACAGACAGACAGACAGACAGACACGCACACAAACAGACAACTACGTAATGCATGCATACATACATACATACATACATACATACAGCCAGACAGACATCTACGTAATGCATACATACATACATACATACAAATACAAATACAAATACAAATACAAATACAAATACAAATACAAGTACACATACAAGTGCAAATACAAATACAAACACGAACACATCAACATAAACATAAACATAACCATATACATTAATTTACATCTACATATACATACACCTTTAAAGTCACGCATTACATATGCATATACATATGCATATGCATATACATACATATATATATATACACACACACCTGAGCTACATACATACATACATACATACATACATACATGTGTATACAGATAAACGCATATACCGACGGACATGGAGGTCCATGTATCCCCCGGTAGTTTGAGGATATATGAGGTACCTTCCTTGATTAATGAGTATTGAGCTCTCTGACCTGTTGCCACCAGGGCACTTCATCGCGAAAAGCTTGCCAGAAGCCTTATTCTTGATAAGCTGCACCTTGGTAAAAGTTGGGACGGTAGAGTTGAAGCATTCTAGCTGGCAAGGAGCGAACTTGGAACGGAAGAGTTCTGTTGTACACGACCGACGAGGCCTCTGCGTCAATTTAAGCTGGGTCTACAGCTTCCGAGATATACGCTAAACCCTAAACCCTTAACCCCTAAACCCCAAACAGCGGCTCTCCAGTTGTCTCCTGATCCATTTCCCACGCGCCTTGCATTGACAAAACTAGAAGCTGTCTTAGTCTCCTGACACTTCAGCACATCGAGATATCCTGCTTCGAGAATCTCGGTAAGGCCTGGCCCAATCTGTCTGGGGCTACAACCGGATGGGCTTGTTAACACAGTAACACACACGGACAGTTCAATCTCACACCAGCAGCAGCATCAAGATGCTAGGCCCGAAGTCACGTGCCATGGGGCAGCAGTCATCGCAAGCAGCCCCAGCTAGAAAATCTAAAGCACCGAATTGAGCGGGGGCGTGTCTAGATCGAGTCACAGCAGCCCAGGCGTGTACCATCGGGAGTCGGGCAGCAAGCGCCTGTGATGTTGAGTGCAACGCATGAAGGAAAGGATGAGCATTCCGTCCCAGCGGCGATCTTCGGCGCGGCGACCACTGGTGGAAATCCCATGCAGCAACCAAGTGCCACGTTATCATCGTTGGGGCAGCAATTCCCCTCCTCGATTCCGTGAGCAACACAGGCAGGGTACTTGGCACAGGTCGTGCCGTTGATGCCAGGAATGGGCGCCACGGTGGGAACCGGAGCAAGTGTAGGAGTCTCAACACTTGCCTTCTCCTCCCCATCTTCAGCGTCAATGCCAACATCGGTTTCCACAGCTGCCGGCTTCTCCCCGCAGTATGGTGGTCCGGATACCGTCTCCGCATGCTTCTCCGGGGCAGGTGAAGCAACTGATGACTCATCTGTCAACAGGCAGCCCCCATCAGGCCAGAAGGTGAAGTGCGCACACCCGTCAACGGAAAGGCAACGCTGTTGGCAAGCCTCCTGCGTCACCTCGCTGGTCCTTTCCGTTCCAGCCATCTTGATCGGGCTGCTGTAGTAGGTGGAAGCCTCGAAGCAGTCTGCCATGGCATCCAAGACCACGAAAGCACCCGACTTGCTGCGGAGGCCACGGGTTCCGCCACGTGCCAGGACGCCAATCGTCACAAGCCCCACACAGCCCAGCGCCAAGGCCACACGCCGCGGAAATGCGAAGCTGCGGTGCTCCGGGCGCTGGTCCTCCAGCAGGAGCTCCACGTCCGAACCGGTGCTGGCCATCACTGCGAGATGCAACGGGGGAA